TAGATACAGACCATTTTTAAAAGTATGCTCTATTATCTCATTGCTTGAATTAAATTCCAAATCAATTTTTTGGATATCTGACTTACTTAGGCTAGTCATTTAATTTTTCTACAGCAATAAGCTTAAGTTAACTTATTGCCAATCACAGTAATGAAGCAGTAACATTGAGATGATTAGTTTAGTGCTTAACACAGAATAAGTACTTAATAAATGTTGGCTGTCATTATTCATGTTAAATGATTATTTTTAGTGTTTGCTGTCATTGGTCCTAGGCCCTTTCACACTTTCTTCTCTCCCTAATTAATTCTGTCCACAACTGGTTTCAATTAATATCACAACACTGATGACTCATAAATTTGTATTTCCAATTTACACATCTCCGCAGTTTCAGTCTCATATAGTCAACCAATGTCTTAACATGTTCAGCTGGATATAATAAACACAGTTATAATTTAACAAGTCTAAGGTAGCATGTATAATATACTCTTTCACATCTCTTAAGCCCCTTCATCGCCAGCACACCACCAATCTGAGAATCACACATACGAGTAAATTTTGACAGTCTTAGAAATTCTTATTTTTTTTTATATCTATCATCCCTACAAATATAGTCCTAACATTAAAAATGCATAGTGTCTCTCTGAAAAAGTTTCTTAACTTATATGCACCTTCCAATTATTCTCCAAACTCTTCCAATCATTCCAAACAGTCCAGGTACAATTTATACATTCTGTATTGTCTTAAACATAGAATTAAGTCAGACTTTAGATGATTCTTAGACAATTAAGTGTCCATGAGTCTAAGATCATCTTCTAGTGCTAGTCTTTGGTAAATTAGCCTCTCCAAGGCTTAATTTCTTTATCTGCAAAATGGATACTTCATACCTCTTTTGTTGTTAATAAGAGAAGAGTAAATTAATAATGGCAAAATAAAGCTTACTTCAGTGCATGTCACTTACTGAAGACTAAAATAAATTTTATTCAGTAGAACAAGGTAAATATAACTTTCTCATAGCCTGAGTTTTGTTTCTCATCTCAGTTTTAAGTCTCCTAAGAGGTTTTTAAATGGGCCAAGCTCCAAGAACGGTATTTGACAGGCTTCTAGAAAAGTTATATAAATCTGGCCTCTTAGTATCTGAGTATTAAAGTTCAAGTTCAAACTCCTTTGCCCCTGCATATATTCTTCTTCTTCTTCTTTTTTTTTTTTTT